TCAGAAACTATTTCTTTCTTTTTTATGGTTGCGCCACTGTACAAGGCCCACCAGTATTATTAAGCTACAGCATTTATTCATAAATAAGTAAGAACAACATGCAGTTATAGAGCTGCAGCAGCAACGTAGAGAAGTAAATATTAGGAAGGAAGTCAGACAAGGATGCACACTGTCACCGCTACTTTTTAATCTATACATCGAATTCGCGATCAACATCATTAAAGACAGTACAACTTTAGGGATAGATTTACAGGGGCAAAAGATTAGTATGCTTAGATTTGTAGATGATGTAGCAGTATTAGCATCTAGCAAGGAGGTGTTAGAGATAGCTTTAAATAAAATGGAAGCGGTATTGACAAAACAGTATTGTATGAAAATAAATAAAAGTAAAAGAAAAATGCTGCTACGCAAGGGAAGAAAGCGAATATAAAGATTGAAGACGAAAAATTAGAAAAAATGGCCGATTTTAGGTATCTAGGAAGTCAGATAAATAAGGACGGAAGGAGTAGTAGGGATATAAAGCAGAGGATAACGCAGGATCGAGTCGCCTTCAATAAAAAGTAGTAACTTCTATGAAAGAGGTATTAGAAAGAATAGGAGAACAGAAAATTCTATAGATGTCAATAGGAAATAGGCGACATAGGTTGGTGGGACACCTTCTCAGGCATGAGGTTCTGGTCAGACATATTAAAGGCAGAAACAGGAGTTAGGGAGAATAAAGGTAGTCCTAGATTAGATTACCGTTCACAAATAGTTAGGGATGTGGGATGTTCTAGTTTTAAGGAAGTGCGAAGATTAGCATAGAATAGGAAGGAGCGGAGGTGCGTATCCAACCAGTCTTAGGCCTGACTACCTTATGATGATGATAAGGTGGTTTTACTTTGGTGGTGCGTTCCTCGCGAATAATCAATTTTTCTAAAAGCTCCTGAGAATACGGTAGGTACCTACTTTAAAAACGACCAATGAAAAATATCTTGAAACAGTAAAGCACGTTAATGCTGTATTTTCTTTTTAAAAGAGACAGACTTTTCAAACTCTTCAGCTTTATGTGTTTCTCCACGCCGTCTTTGAGATTCAGCTTAATGCCCTCAAAGAACCGCAATTTACTCCACGAGCGAAGTTAATTTTTACGTCACCCGCGCGCTCTCTTTCTCCACAAGATCCTCTTTGAAACAGTCGCGGAATAATATTGAGGCCTTTAAGCAACCAAGTCTCCCAACTACTACTTTCAGCTGATTAATTTAATGTAGAAGAAGGAAGCCATCGCCGAAGCGGGTCGCCTCAAGTCTCAGCATAATTCCGTCGTATCACCCAGGCTAAAGATACGTATTACGATCGGCAGGCAGTGTAGCAACATTGCGGATTTTATGAAAACTATTTACATGTTTAAGAGCAGGCCGGGTACGTACACCGTTCTGGATTTTTTTAATCAGGGAGTTAGAGCTGCCCGAAATCGCTTCATAAAAAGTGTTTAATGATAACGCGGCTCGGTTTAAGTGACATTATTCACACGGAATTTTATTTCCAGTAGGTAAACCTGTTATGTGCTTCGTTCAAAACCTGCCCTCAAAATTGTTTTTAGACCGCGCTTATAACAAAAGGATTTATTTATGGGTCTTAGTATTAAACGCGAAACAGGAAATATTATCACAATGAATACTGAAACGCATCCCCGCATAACTCAGTAAAAGAATAAGATCAAACAGGGAGTTACTAATTGTAGAAAATGCTTCACGTTTTATGGCATAGAAACAGATAATCTTCGATTATACACCTTTTGATACGTAATTTTGGCATTAATTGGTATTTAATTAGGCTACCGACAATCAAATGATCCAATTTTATTATTTTTATTAATTCAACTTTTTAAAGTCACAAGAATTTTCTTTAAAGATGACAGTTCTTATTGAGTTTCCCACTATATTACTTGTCGCTGAATATTACGTGTTACAATTTAATAGCATAATAAAGTTTAAACTAAAAGGAAAATAGTAGAAAAGAATAATTATAATTTCCAGGATGAACATAAGAACTTGACGCTCGAAGCCGTCAGGAAATCCATTCTGATGTACATCCCTATAACTCAATAATAAATATTACATATTTTGTCCATTAGCTAGTAGGTACAACACAGACCCATTCAATTAAACTTGTGCTAGGTATTAGTGCAAAGGCTATAGATTTTAATTAAGTTTATCTTTTAAACATAACTTGGACTAAAATAGACAGCAAAACTGTTGGCTGTGGCGCGTTCTGAGATATCATGTCGGATCCAAAGTAAATTATATTAATGTTCGAAACTTTCTAATTGCACAATCGGAACTGGACTAAACGTACCTATCTCACAAAATACATAGTGGAAATCTAAATTTATAATAGGAAACGAAGAACCTGAACCATTGGTATATAATGTGTTTCATATTTTCGAAGACAATAGTGCTAATGCTAGTATAGCAACATTATTTTCTCATTCAGCTCACTTGACTACACTTGAAAAAAAAAAACATGAAACCTACATAGGGCTGTCGCAAAAGTCAAGAATTTATCGATCTTGTTTTGTCTGGTCTTGACGGTCAAGATAAGATCATAAACAAGGTAAAAAAGTGAAGGTCTTGAGTATCTTGTTCTCTAATTAGAGATACCTACTGAAAATGCAAAATAAAAACGTATTCATTACCGAATCAGTGAACAGCGACGACCGCTGAGACCACAAATGGTCAAATGCTCGGTAAGTCATAATCACGCCGCTAACTTCATACTGTAAAATATTCATTAGTCGTGCGCGCGCAACTTCCGTTGCATACTAAAATTTTACTCTCAACGCACCAAAGGAAATGCGTACCTAAGTAGTTATTTTTATCGTATTAATAAAACTGCTCAACTAAAATCTACTTTATCGGTTCTTTCTACTTTACAATAGATTAATCATAATGTGGAAGCTTGAGTCCTATTGATCTACTCCCCTTAAGCTAATTATCTCGTAATCGTTTATATTCATGTTACATATCTAGATACAAAATAAATGTTCAGTTATTTCTTTTTTATCTGCCCCGTTTTCTGTATTAGTCTTTTTATTCACGTACGCGTATAGAAGATAACTCGGTGAAAATTTACATGAATACCTAATTCTTTGAATACTTTCGTTCAAAAAGACGCATTCTGTTAAAAGCGAGACGAAAATCAATGTTGCTTGTTTGGTCGACGTTATCTGGAAATCTGAAATTCCATGCAAACCCTGTAGCAACTAAAATTTCCGGTAAAACAAGATACCCTCGTAACCGTGCAACATTTTCTAATAATTCCTGGAGAAATTGGCAGATGTTATCTGTACATCGCATAGTTGTTGAGAATATAACGCTATCGACAAAATTTAGTTCACATCATTTTTCAAAAGTTTGTCTATATTACAAACTTAAACTAGTAGATTAGAAAAGGAAATCATCCCCTTCAAATTTAAACGAAACCATCCTTGAGATATAGCCTATCCAATAAAGAAACGATCATTAAAATCGATGAAGAAATCTGATAAAATACATACCCATAAAAAATATACTTAGTCGCATTGAAAACCTCCCTTTTTTTTGAAATAATAAGTTAAAAAGAAGAAAAGGACGTGATGTTTTTAACCTAACATATTTTTTATGTTCTCCCAGTACGACTTAAAGTGCCTCATAAAATATTCGATTCCTCTGATTTCTAAAATTTAACGTGAAAGCGAGGCCACAAAAAATTTTCTTTATTTATACAAAACGAATGAAAAAGAAGTTCATGATCGACAAGAAAACCTTTTTCATAAAAACTGTCGCAAACTAATCATTTTCATTGTAAGGCAGTAACTGTTGATAAAAAATACTCTTTTGTATACAAATAATGAATAGGAAACCAAGATTTTCTTTTACAGTATTCGTTATTTGAACAATATTAAAGAAAACAAATTTTCTAATAAAATTACTTACATAAATAGACTGTCTAAGGTGGTTATTATTGTTTATATCGCAATAATGTTTTTGTCAACAACAACAAAGGACACACCAGTTATACGTGCATTATTAATTCTTTTCAACCCTTACAAAAAATAAATCGTTAGATATGTACATAAGAAAATTTTTATTTTTAATCTACCTATCAAAGAAATTTTTACGTTGACTTTTTTCAGTTTTAATTTCAATACCCTTTTAACCTTTGGAAACATGTGTATAGGAAACTATAAACAGGTACAATTGAACCTTTTTGAACAATATTAAACTCTAGATACATATTTCCTAGTATAGAAAAGTACTTAATTTTTGTGCAGTTGTTTAAAAAAAATGATGATACCTACCAAAAAAATTTACAAAAAATTAAAGTAACCGAATATTTATTAATAATTAGCGTACCATACAAATTAAAGAAGATTTTCGAATGCTTTTAAAAAATAAAAGTGAATTTTGTATCTACTTCGTAAAATAATCGCATTAATTATGCTCCAGCTGTAATCAAATACATTCTATGATTCCTTTCAAAACAACTGTTTAACATAAAATTCAAAATTCACGGGACTCTATACAATTAAATTGAATTATTCCACCATCCATTCCATGCTGCATCTATTACTGTAATATACATTTGTATAATAAAACTATCGAAAGCCTATTGCAGCGTGATAGAGAGCTTATAGGATGATTAACAATGTTGCCTACCGAAAAAGATTTTTTAGTCATCATGGTGCACGTACTACATTAGTACTGAACAATAATGATTTTCATCGTCATCATAATCATCATTTGGTTGCACGTTACCGGATATAGAGACTCATCAAATAGATACCATCAAACACAATCCGCTGGCAGCTTATTATCATGTACACACATTCTGTACACAAGTACACACAAACGTATACACAATGATTATAGGCTGCTCTTTACAAATATTCCGACAACGTATTTTCAACGGCCAAATTAATTTGACGTGGTTGTTTGTTGTTCCGAAACATGATCGCGGGTATTTATTGCTTGTTGCAGGTGTCGAAATCCGGTCCAACAACGGTAACATTGAGGGGAGTACGACGGGAATTGACCGGGAAGTATGCGTGTGAAGTTTCCGCAGATGCGCCTCTATTCCACACCGAAATAATGGCGGCCCACATGACTGTTGCAGGTAATGTGTAAATAATATCCTGTTCTACAGTAGAATCAAGAAGACTAGAGTCTCAATTCGAGTCTAGGAGGTAAGATTTCCTAAGACAAAATATGAATACCGCAGTAAGATCTCTTCGTATTGAAACCTCTGTGCAGTGGTTGACTGCGCAGTCATACTGTTGTGTGTGTCATGTATAATTAAGCCGTCATCTCGAGTCGCAAAAGTCATAAAAGTGTCATCTAAAGGGACTCGTCTACCTGAGACATTTCGCCAATGAAACTATAATATATTTTATTTCTGTCCAAATTTCTCATTTAGTTTGTAATAATTATACTACTTAGATTGCCAAGTTGTATCTTAGGTGCTTAAGCTCTAGGGAAGGGCGTAGGGTAACTGTCTCTATGATTGGTAGATTTACAGCTTTAGCGACACGAGACAACGGCTCGTGAACATACGAGGCACAGAAAATTTCTTCTGCGCAAAGGTCCAAAAATCCGGACCACCAAATCCAGGTTCTATTTTTCGGCTTACCTCCTCGACTCTACTTGAGCCATCCTGTTACCTTAAGTTAAAGTTCAAGGTGATAATTAAAAGGCTGAAACATTTACGGTCGGCCTGCATCATTTATTATTTTCGAAATCGAGAATTAAATGTTTAATAGAACATATCTGGCGAATTATTAAAGATAGCGCAAAAATTATTTCACCAACGGTTGGCCCGTACCTAAGTGTACAGGAAAAATTGAATTTCGAAGAAAAAAAAATATAGAAATTTTTGAAAATTTTGAATTTTTCATCAACACCCAATGCGGCAAGTTTTCGATGAATGCAGTTTTAAATTCTGACACTCCTGGTCCATGGTAGAGCCGACCCAATTTGCGCAATTTGCTTTTTGTTCAGGGTTGTCTCTCCCCTTTCCCTTTATCCAACTTATCCAATTCTTTGCTAGCCTCCTTATTGGGAATGAAGGTAAAAACTACCTTTGCAGAGGATAAGGAGGGGCTGAGTCCTTTGACTCTTGCCTTATTTTCCGAGGATGGCAGTCAAAGGAGCTGCTATCGAAAGGTGGGATAAACAGCTTCATGCCCGGAATCATCGAAACTTAATCCTGACATGATCATCAAACCCGAATGTTGAAATCTATTCAATAAAATATCAAAAAGTTTTGGTAGCAAATATTTTATTATGAATAAAAATCTCGTTTTGTTCGAAAAATCTTCAACAATGTAAATTGACGAAAGTTATACCAACAGCATTACTACAATTTTGCCCTGTCTCTCGTCTTTCTAACCAGCGTACTTACAATTTAGTTGATACATTTCTCGAAAACTTTAATTAATCCTTTATACATATAGTGCAAGTGACGACGCGCGAATTTCGCTGCTACAAAGTAACAAATTTTCGACGGTGCTCCTCGGAGACTGAATAATATAAACATAATAAATATTCATGAGCGCGATTGTGTTACAGAACTTCCCAACGGAGGGGTCGACCTCAACGTGCAACCCCCGAAAGCAGAAATTGGCAAAAGAGTGACGGCCGATTGTACGTCTCCAGGATCCGATCCGGCGGCAAACATCACATGGTTTATTAACAGCGAAAAGGTGAGTCCCTATTTAGAACAATTTAATTAATAGATGTCAACTCATATGGAAATGGGAAAATGACACATTAGAGTAAACCAAAAGCTTTTCTACAATTCCCAGTCTACAAGTCTAACCCAGGACTTCCCAAACTTATTTTTACTGTGACCCCCTGGGGAATTTTCTTTGGGACACCAAAAAGTACCTACCAGTTGTAGTTCTAGTTTTGTAACAAATTATCAGAAAAACTCCAAATAACATTTACAATTTTTATCACTAACTCATCAATCACAGTCAGTCTACAGGGATCGCCTCGCGACCCACAGTTAGGGGAACCTTATCTAACCCTATTCATTTCAATATAATGTCACACTTTTAATTTTATTGGTTGCTAACTATCCCTCCGCCGTGTCTTATAGCTTGATTGAAAGATTGTATTTACCGTGAGTTAACTTTAAGACAAGGAAAATGTATCTAGTAGGTACCTAATATTGAATGTGACTGATATGTATCAAGAGAAATCAAACAAGTTTGCCGAAGTATCAGATCTGTCAGAAAAACTAAATATCAAGTTTTTCTCCATTTCCTTTTTTCTATTTTCGATTCCTTCTGCCTGATAGATTCGTAATCAACCTAAACATTCTTTTGCGTTTTCTTAGCTTTAGTTGTATAAAGATTCCATCAAGTGGAAAATCGAAATTACGAACCTTTTGAAAATGAAACTATTCGTAGGCGCAATCATTTAAATGTTAGAATACCTTTTATGATTTCAATTACCTATTGATAAACATTTTATTCGATGAACTGTGTAAATTCAAACGTTCCTTGAAATTGGAACGATGCGATTTCCCGTTACTTTTGTGCGTTTCTTTTGTTGAATGACCAATACAAGCCTTAGTATTAGTAAAAACACAATACATTGCCAGAATTTTATGAATCTATCGATAATAGAAATCATAACGTTAAACACCGATACTGATAAGAATAATTTTTACCGTAGTTAACAAGTAATATCAAATTGGAGCTTTTAAAATACGACATCACTTTGATAGATTTTATTGAAATGTAGTTTACTGATAGAATTAATAATTCTAAACAAAATTAACAGGAATTTTCGAAAAAACTAAAAAGTAAAAAAGTGATGAAAAATTCTCCGAGAAAAGTCCTAACACGCTGAATCATTAATGCTCAAGTTAAACCCTTGTGCCTAGTTAAAATTTTGCAATAGTTTCCTTTATGATGTTTACAAAAAATATGGAAATATATTTTGTAATTTAGCATGTAAGAGGATGAAAAAGGATAAAAAATTTTAATGGAACATTTTCGTTTGCAGTCTTAATGCTCACTGATACAATTAAATAAACATTTTTTTTAACTAACCCTAAAGGGTTGCTACGTTTGTATTTGAGATCTAAGATGGCAACATGACATAAAATTGAAACTCAATTACAGTGATTCTGATAAAAATTTTACAGTTTGTAAATATATGTGTTCTGCGCAACGAAATTATTCCAATAACTAAAAATATCGAGATTTATTGCTGTGGCCTGTATAAAAACCACTTTGTTAAAATTCATTCGTTCGACGTCGAGGAGCGCCATCGTCCGTCTCATCGCATCGCCTACCACAATTCGTACTACGACAACGGCGTCGGTCGCCTCTTCGTGTGCTCTATGTGCGCCCGGCAAATAAATTTATGTACTCTCCGACGCTTCCCGTGCTCATTTCAAATTCAACCGAGTTAAGCCATTCGGAAAATTATTTTCTTTTGTTTCTTTGAGACGCCAGATATCCGCGAACGATAAATCTCTTCAGCTCTCTCTCTCCGTCTTTTTCTTTCTTTCGCATCTCCCTAGGACCAATCGGCCATTTCGGTTGGCGACGAGAAGTTTTTCTGTTTTAATAAATCCATCCAATGTCGTCGGTCTTCGTTCACCATCACCACCACCAATTCCACCCACTTCACCCACGTATCCGTCCATCCGAATAACGGACGTCAATTAGGCCGATGCTTTTTGTTTGCGTCCTATTAGTCGGAGGATGGAAAACAAAAACATCAACGTAAAGGCGACGCCGGCCGAGGGGAAAAGGGTGACGGTGACGGTGGCGGTGGTCGCCAATTTAATTTGCCAAAGTTCCCGATCAGATATATCTGGGAAGTATACCGACGACGGTATCCGAGAGTCGAACTGAGGTCCGTGAATTTCTTCCGGATTGACGGAAATTCTTTCCTTTATCTGTAATTCCCATCTAAGTCGCAATCGCATACGTACATTTTTAGTCGTATACTAACCAGTGGCGCTGCGCCGATTGCCAAAACTAAACTGAAATAAAATTCCAGCGAATTGCGGCAATTCCTTTATCTGTGGAGGGTTACAGAAAGGCAACAAACTTTACGATATCAACTGTAGGCAAACAAAACTATAACCACTCTATTTATCTATTAGAAAAACATGTTCAATTTTATACATCAATAACGTGATTTCCTAGTTAAAAAGATAACAGCTGTTTTTAAGTGTTTTCGATCTCATTCTGTAAACAAGCTTGGAAATAAATGTTTCTAATTAGAGGAACTGTCCTTTAAGCAATTTACTTTAACTCCTTTTCAGGCACCTACCCCTAAAATTTAGTATAAACATAAAATTAAGGCGTTGTAGGTAAATGCAATTGATAGATATTACAGCCACCATTAAAAATGGGACAACTTCAGGAATAGATATACAGGGGCAAAAGATTGGTATGCTTAAATTTGCAAATGATATAGCAGTATTGGCATGTAACAGGGAGGAGTGAGAGAGCAACTTAAATAAAATGGAAGTGGTGTTAGCAAAACAGTATTGTACGAAAATAAATAAAAATAAAACAAAAGTACTGATGGTATGCAAGGGAAGAAAAAGTAAATATAGGGATAGGAGACGAAAAAATTAGAAAAAATGACTAATTTTTGGTATCTAGGAATTTAGATAACTTAAAACGAAAGAAGCAGTAAGGATATAAAACAGAGGATAGTGCAGGGTCGATTCGCCTTCAATAAAAAGAAGAAAGATTAATTTACAAATTTTAAAAAGATTGTTAAAGGTGTATACCTTGAGTACCTGGAGTACGGCCCTGTTCGGGTGAAAGAAAAGGTTAAAAGTGTTCGAAGTGCGGTGTTACAAGCGAATGATGAGAATACCGTAGATAGATAGAGAAAGTTAGAAATGAGGAGATATTAGAAAGAATAGAAGAACAGAGGGCGCTATGGAAGTCAATAAGGAATATAAGAGATAGATCGGTGTGTAAAAACATATTATGAGTATAAATAGGAATTAAGAAGAGTACAGGTAGATCTAGACTATATTACAGTTCATAAATAGTTAAGGATGTGGTATGTTTTAGTTTTAGGAAATGCAAATATTAGCTCAGGATAACGGAGGTACGTGTCCAGACAATCCTAAGACTAACGACCATATAATGATGATGGCATGATTTTGAAGTTTAAGAATTTAATCTACTGATTGTGCAAAAACTGCAAATTGCAAAACCTTAACTGTACACATTTATTCTAAATAAAACAGGTGCAAAAAGTCATAGACAGCAAATTGAAATCATTTTAAGAAATGGAAAGTTGGATACCATAGTAAATTGGTTGAGCCGACGCGTCGGATTCTGTTTTCGACTTATGAACAAATTCTTCCCAACTAGTTTAGCGATCTTTAGAAATATTGCTTTTGACGTAAAACGTTCATCAATTCCTCCAGGCTCCTGTTTCACGTCAATATCATTGCCTAACTCTCCAAACTTTCTCAAAGGTTTTTTACTAAGCATAAGTAACGATCGCAGAACACATCGGATACTTATGAGCCACTTCGCTTTACTCAGAACTTTATAAAACGGTGCTTTGTTGAAATGTAACCTTCTTCTACAAGCATTTTCAAACAATTCTTGTTACTATAAGCTACATGCTGAGAATCCTATCCTCTAAATTTAATAGAAAATATTTGTTCTGATACGTGGAATAAATAAAACGTTGTGAAGCGCAAGATACTTCGCCTATTCTTAGGAAATAGACCATTTAACCGAGGACGTTCATTGGTATTCAATGCTCTTCTATAGTTCAGCCAATTTTTATTCAATAAACGAGAAAAAGATTCTATCACGATAACTATTAAATAAATAAATAATAAAAAAATGTTACTTATTTATATGCCCACTCACGCTAAAAAGGAGTTTTATAAAAATTCGGTAAATGTCTAGATGATGGGTGGGTGGGATCGAAAGAGGGTGGTCACCTGAGTAAAACCCCATAAAAAAATTGCGGCGGTCTCACCCCCATAAAAAGTTATGGGGGTTGAAAGTTGATTATTTTGACAATTTTCCTACACTATAATTCAAATAAAATTCAATAAAAAAATTATTTTCAAGCTGGCGGAGGTGGGAGATCGAAAGAGGATGGTCACTTGAACAAAACCCGATAACCTAACCTAACCTAACCTAACCTATCCTATTGATAAAGATATTTAAATAATGTTTTATATAACTTTCTCAATATTTTTATGTATTTTTCCATTAGTTTTACCTTTGAATATTGTTTAAGAATGACTACTACTACTACTACGATTTCCGACCAAGTAGTTTGAAAATACTCAACGGAAACCTTCATTTACATTGGCATATGTTATAAATGTTTGCTTAGGTCATTCATAATTGAAAGACAAATGATATTTTAAAAAATTAAAATAGTGGAATCCATTTCAATCACAAACATGTTGAAATTAACATTTCTTGAACACACTTTTGGATTTGTACTATTTAATGTATTTCCGCTTCAAATGTGTTGGTTTTATTTTTATTTTATTTTGTTAAAACAGTTTAAGAAGGGTAATAACAAAATGATAACGAACCAAAAAATACTGAAACAGAGTAAGCGTAATTTGCCTAGTATTTCTCTGGAAAAAGATCTCATAATAGGAAGTTTCAAACAAGATAATGATTTAAATTTATGCACATAATGTTTAGATAATATACTTAGTTGTCTCTCG